CAAATACCGGTGTCTAAAACACATTGCAAAAGTACAAAACCCACTAAACAATGAAACCTTCAATACCTGTAGGTACCAAACACAGTTCACAAATATAGAAATGACAGAACTATAAGAAAAATTTACCAGTGGGTAGAAACCACATTCCACTACTACATAACGCACAAAGCCATTAAAACCCAAACACCGGAGGAAACAAAAAACACTACAAATAAAGAACCGACAAAACTACGAAAACCCAAATACCAATGGGTATCAAAGACACTCGACAAATACAGAACCCACAAAACCATGAAAACCCAAATATCACTAGGCACCAAAGACACTCCACAAGTACAAAACCCACAATATCACCAAACCAAGATACCAGTAAGTACCAAACACACTCCACAAATACAGAAGCGACAAAACTATAAAAACAGTGGGTATCGAACACACTAAGAAAATACAAAATCCACTGAACCATGTAAACCAAAATACAAGCTAAACACACTCCACAAGTACAGAAGCCACAATATCATAAAAGCCCAAATACCAGTGGGCAGCAAACAACCACAAGTACAGAACCCACAAAACCATAACAACTGAAATGCAAGTAAGTATCAAACACACTCCACAAATACTAAACCACACAACTAAAAAACGCAAATACCACTGGCTACTAAACACACTTAGCAAATACAGAAACCACAAAACTATAAAAACCAGTGGAAACCCAACACACTTCAAAAATATAGAACCCATAAAACATTGAAAAACACAATACTAGTGGGTACTAAACACTCCACAAATAAAGAACCCACAAAACCATAAAAATCCTACTACTAGTGGGTACCAAACACAATCCACCAGTATGGAATCTACAAAACCATGAAAACCAAAATACCAGAGGTTATCCAAACGTTTTACAAGTACAGATCTCATAAAACCATCAAAATGCAAATACTACTTGATATGAATGCACTCCAAAGTACAGACCCTATAAAACCATAAAAACCCAAATACCAGTGGGACTGCAAACCTGAATACCACTAGGTACCAAACACACTGTGCAAGTATTGAACCCAAAAAGCAATGTACTAATAGAGGTTACTAAACACACTCCACCAGTAAAGATGTCACAAAACCATAAAAACCCAAATAATAATGGGCATTAAAGACACTGTACAAGGACAAAATCAATAATACCATTAAAACCCAAATACCAGTGGCTACTACACATACTCCGACAGTACAAAAGCCACGAAATTATGAAAACTAAAAATGTCAGAGGGTAATGGACACAATACACTACTACAAAACCATTAAAAACCCAAATAACAGAGAGTACAAAAGCACTCTACAAGTACGGAACCCACAAAACCGTAACAACCCAAATACCAGTGGTTACCCAAACACTCTCTGAAAATGCAAAACCCAATAAACCATGAAAAACCATAGTAACAGTGGGTACTTAACACACTCCACAAATACAGAACCTACAACACCATAAAAGGCCAAATACTAGTTCATACCAAACACTGCACAAGTACAGAACCTGCAAAACCATAAGAATCTTTGATACCAGTGGCTACCAAATACATTTCATAAATACAGAACCGACAAATCTATAAAAAACCAAAGACTAGCACACTCAAAAAATGCAAAACCCACAAAACCATAAACACCGACAAAGTGAGAAGTCAGTATAACATAAAATATCAATTCAAAACTAATCTAAAATGATAAGAACTCAGTCTGATTAGTCACCTGGTCTTTGAAACTCTACTATAAAATTGACAAAAGAATATTCACAAAATAAGAACTCAGTTTTATCAGTCACTCCTAGTATGAACTATACTATCAAACTGAAAAAGAGGAAACAAATAATGAGAAGTATAAAGCATCATTAAAAATCAATTTCAAATGATAATTCATGTACTACTTATTTCTATTTTAGTTTCATGGTATACTTTAAAATACCAAAAGGGACTAATCTGAGGTACATATCATTTGAGGTTTGTTGTTAAATGTTTCATGTACTACTTCTCATTATTTGTTTCTTCTTTTCTTAGTTTTATAGTATTCTGTATATCAGTTGTGACTGATCAGATTGAGTTTGAATGACTCAGACCAAACGTAAAATGACAAAAACTACATCTGATTAGTCACTACTAGTATAACCTATACTATGAATCAGAACAGAAGAAACAGTGAGAAGTCTACTAGTAAAACATAAAACATCATTTAAAAACCAACCTCAAATATACTGATAAGTCACTTCTGGTCTTTTTAACAATACCATAAAACAGAGAAAAGAAGAAACAAGTTGTGAAAACTCAGAAGAATTTAACATATTTCAAAACCTGTTCCTCAAATGATACTGATCTGTCACTTATGGTATTTTCAACTATACTATGAAACTAAGAAAAAAAAGTGAGAAGGGAGTAAAACATAAAACATTTTAAAACCACTTTGAAATGACAAAACTGAAGTATGATAAGTATGTCCTCGTATTAACTATGATACGAAAGTGAGAAAAAGCGAAACAAGTTGTGAGATGTGAGTAGGATATATACATCATTTTAAAACCAATTTCAAATAATAAGAATTTAGTCCAATCAGTCACTTCTGATATTTTAAACTATGCTACAAAACTGAAGAAAAACTTCAATATGAGTAGTATATGAAACATCATTTTAAAACCAAACTTAAATGATAAAAACTCAGTCTGATCAGTAACTCCTGGTATTAACTATACTATGAAACTAAGAAACTATTAGTAACTTACTTTAAAACTGACCTCAAATGATAGGAACTAAATTAAATTGGTCACTTCCGGTAAAATTAAATTATACTATTAAACTGTGAAATCAAGAAACAAAAAAACAAATAGTGAGAAGTAATAATACATGAAACATCATTTTATGACCCATTTTAAATGTAAGAGCTGATCAGTGACTTATGGTATTTTAAAATATGCCACAAAACTGAAAAGAAACAAACACTAAGAAATGAATAGTACGTGCTACATCATTTTGAAACTATATTAAAATGATAAAAACTAAGTCTGATCAGTCATTCATGATATAAACTACCATATAGCAGGATTTATTGACGAGTTAAGAATTTGACAAAAACAAAAGATTTCCCCAGTTGGCAAGTTTTAATTTGACAAAAAGTCCCCTTCGCGTACACATGCCACAAAGTACAAAATTTTTGACTATTATAAATTTCACGTTTTATTTTAAATAGTCAACCCGTTAAAGTGAAACCTTCGTCAATAAATCCAGCTTTAGAGTATACTATGACACTGAGACACAGAAAGACAGTGAAGCAAAATGTGAAACATTTAGAACTAACTTCAATTGATTAGAACTCAGGTTGATCACTACTATTTTGCATATAACCCTTCGGGTTAAATAACGGGTGGCATGCAGGTAGAACAACTGCAGTTGGAGTTTCTGAGTATCCTCACTGTTTAAAGCTGGCCATTGCAGGATAATTAAGTAATGAAATCTCATCCCTTCAGTAACTGTTCCTTGAAAGTAAAGTGATGCATCACTTTCATGTCTTTTATCTAGCAGATGTAGGGACAAAGGAAGCCTTTCTAGTAATAAAATGGTACTATGACGTCCCATTCTACTAAACATATCATTTGAGACACATTCACATGAAAGAAATCATTGACTACGCAGGCCATGTGCTCCAGGCCAACAACTTCAGTCCTCCTAAAGCGCTGTTTAATTACACTGAAGCACCAATAATACAAGTTGAGAAACAAATGAAATTGCACATCATTCTACAACATTAATTTTTACATGTAAAACACTATACCTGCTGGGCATAATAAAAACTGAAGTGTATTTCAGGAATTGCTGACACAGGCCTCCTCCACTACCACATTCAACCTCTCCAGTGACTGCTTCACCCTCAGCTAAACAGATTAGTAGTACTCCCTCTCTCTTTTGGCAAGGACAATGTGCTAGTTTCTTTGCTTTCTGAATCACCAGTTATTTTTAAACAAAAAGGTGCATTATAAAACTATTCACACATCATAAAATTACTTCCGTCGATTACAGTATGAAAGGGGTGCCCTGGGCACAATATGGCAGCCTCAATTTTACATTTGAAAGTTACAAAATGGCTGCCGCAATGGCATGGCTGTTATCGTGGTTCAATCAGTGGCACAACGCACCAAAATAGCATGAAAAGTTGTAAACACAAGGCGTAAGTCCACAAGCACATGTAGTATAGTTCACTTGAAGTCAGAAATTCATTACTATCAAGTTTCTTTAAAAAATTTTTTTCTCAAGATTCAAATCATATTTTGAAGATGTCTTACAGCCTAACACAGGCTGTGAATGAAGCTGGCAGGCAGGCTATACAGGCTAGTAGTGAAGATGTAGTCCTCACCAGCACCACCACACAACAAACCATTGCCAGCAGAAGTGAGCCATCGTCTTCGGGTAGTGGTTCCAGTACAAAACCCGTTAGTCTTTTCCCTCATCCACATCCAATGACTGGTACACCAAGCAGCGGAAATGTTCAACTGTCAACTGGAAGAAGTAAATAGTTTGAAATAATTGCTTAAATGAATAAGAATATTATTAATAATAGGGATGATTAGATAAGGGAATGGTGACAAGCCTCCAGTCCATAGTTGGGACAATGTGTGTCCGCACTGCCACCTGATGCCATGTATCATTGAAAAACCACCGTCATGGCTTGGAGGCAGTGCTGACCCCAGTGTTTCTAGTGCACAAAAGAGGTATTCCCAATACTGGTGTAGTGTATTAATAGCAACAGATATGAAACTGGCAAAAGCCAAGAGATTGTTTTCCAAAATAATTTTACAGATTATATACACATATCATCAATAACCATTAATAGTTAATTAGCTATGCACCAACACAATATAACCATAGTCACAGCAATAATAATAAACGACTAAGATGTAGAACACAAACAACTTATAAAATATTACATACATTACACTCCCCTTCACTAGCTATTAGTAGTCAAAAGTCATTCACAAACCAGGGACAATCTGGTGGACAACGAACCCTGTCAGGATATCTCTGTGTAGCAGGGGGAGGAGGAGATGGAGCTTCTGGAGACTGAGATGGAGCTTCTGGAGCCTCTGTTGGAGCTTCATTAAGCAAAAGCTTGCGGCTCAGACTTACTTCAATATCGATATCATTATCAGAGCTATAAGTTGTTTCCTCCTCTATATCTTTGGCTCTCTGCATTTGATCCATATGTCTGCTAACTTGCTCTCCAGTGGAAAGTAATACATGTACCAACCTGGTTCCAATAATCTGTTGTACTTGTCCTAGCTCCCAACAGTGTAGTCCTCTCCGGTACACTCTAATCCATACTTTATCCCCAGGGCTAAAAGACATCTGACGCCTCCTTCGTTTATCCTGTTGTTGCTCAACCCTCTTCTGATAATCCGGCTTTAATAAGTCAAGCTTGGTACGAAGTGGTCTGCCTAGAAACAATTGACCTGGAGAGGAGCCCATAACAGTATGAGGTGTGGATCTGTATTGTAGCAGGAAGTCTAGTAGAGGCTGGTTCCCATATGGTTGTATTTGTTGTACAACAGTTGCAGAATTGTTTCACAACTTAATGGAAATAGTCTTTGCGCTTGTTGTACAATTTTGTTAACACAATCGCAGAAATTGGACCTAGCTCTATCTCTACGATGCTGGCAACTGTTGTGTGTCGAAAATAATTTATGGAACATTAATCGCACAATTTTGCAACTAAACCACACCCATATTGATTGAAATAAAATGGCAGAATTTGATGTCCCACCTGCTTTTTCTACATCTAAAGAGGCTGATACAGTTGATAGTGGTGGTGAAGATCCAAAAACAACCAGAAACATTCGAGTTACATAAGATTATATGGAAGAAGTGCAGAAATATCCAGTACTCTAAGACAGGTTTAGTTCTGAGTTCAAGAACAAGTACTTTAAGCAAAATGCCTGGACATCTGTTGGAAAAGCTGTTGGAACATCTGCAGAAGCAGCAGAGAAGTGCTACAAATCTATCAGAACCTCATATGGTAGATATTTGAAAAAGAAGAGGCATATGCCAACAGGTTCTGGCAGAAAAGATGTCCCTTGCATATCAGAATTTGAAAACCTTGACAGGTTAAATATATACACAGACCATAGACTTACAGTGACAAACATCAATAACATCCATGAAAGTGATATTGATACGTGTGATACTGATGATAATGAACAAGTTCTATGAATCAGCGACAAAAGTGGAAGTGATGATATTGTTGCAAATAAGACGAAAGCTGGAGATAAAAGGCCATGGTCTAAAAGTAATTTTAAGAGTAAAATTGATGAAGCTCTTGTTAAAAGTATTGGAAGTATAACTAAAATTTTGGAACAGCATCCAAATGATGTGAAGAAAGGCCATGAAGACGTTACTGATGAACAGGGGCGTAGCTGGACCTTGGGTGATGGTAGGGCAAGGAGACAAAATGGCGCGCGAAGCGCGCCGCAATTTTGGTCACACCCCTTTTACGTAACAAAATGGAAGCATTTTCTTACAAGCTGAGCGAAATCAGAGTGAAATTATCATTGTATATAGCTTTAAAAAGAGCTGTGGTTATCAGCCACCCCCTTTTCTTATTGTAAGAACAATGAATATAATCTTTTGGGTTATAATTTCAATGAATATAATTATAAGGCCACTTTGATGGTAGGGCCCAGGCCCCCTCAGGCCCTACCTCAGCTACGCCCCTGCTGATGAAGATGAATTGTTTTGCAGGAGTCTGGTACCACAACTGAAATGACTTCCTCCACCATTAAAACAGCAGGCAGAAATTCATATTCAACCGCTACTTTTCAGTACCAAATTTCATCAGCAGTGGCCAAACTAGTGCCAATAGTCATATAGAAACAGAAACAGCATAAATCCTTTATAACCTTACATGTACAGTTATGCATAATAGAATATTGAAAAGACCAAATTAAACTTTAAAAAGTGTTATTGCTTTGACAAATAGTACAATGTATTATACTATACATTAAACAATTTTAATTTGCTTTTTAAACAAGATAACTGTTATGTTGTAATAATAATAATAATAATAATAATAATAAGCAGGATGAGGCAATAGAATAAGTATATATAAAGAAAGGAGAAAGACAGAGTAGAGGAATAGTTGCTAGGATATATACAATGTATAGTTACTATTACATATTGTTCATCTAGTTATATACAATGTGCGAGAGTCTTGTGTTACATGATTAACTTGCCATGGCACTTGCCCATCTACGCTATCAAAATAAATTGCAAAATTATCTCTTGTCTGAACAGCATCAAAGCAGTAGCGATTGCCACTGACATTACTCAGACTTTGTAAACCAGTGCTACCACATGATGCCAAAGTATTCCTCCAGTCACCTGGTATGATTTCTCCATTTTCACTCTCTTTGTCGACGAAACCACTGGGAGTATATGATGCATTGTCTGTTAAGCGTAAATAATTGTGAAGACAAACATGTGCCTTGATTATTCGTTTCACATTCTCAGGAGATGCACGTATAGGACGGCAGAATATATGCCACTTTGCTGCCAAAATTCCAAAAGTATTCTCAATTGTCCTTCTAGCTCTAGATAGTCTGTAATTATATATTCGCTTGTGTAAAGATAAGCTTTTACCTGGATAGGGTTTCATGAGCCATGTCTTTAAAGGAAATATGTTGTCTCTGACTAAAGTATATGGTAGTGTAGCGGCATTCTGATTAACCATACAAGGCTCTGGTAATTGAATTATATTGCCCTGAAACAGTGTGCTTATAGAAGATTCAGCAAAAATTGATG